CTGCAAACTATTATATATATATATATATATATATATATTAGGGGTGGAACGGTTCAACTTACTCACGGTTCGGTTTGTATCACGGTTTTAGAGTCACGGTTTCGGTATCGTTCGGTAAGTGCTATGTTTAGGCAAAAACTATACTGTCAAATAAAAATAAAGAAAATAAGAATAATCTAACTACAAGCAACAGCACAAATAAGTACAATAGAGTAAAGATACAATTAAAATAAACAGTGATTTTCAGTTTTTTTTTAGGTAGGTCTAACATTAGTTTTCAGGTACAGAAATTGAATAAAGTAATGAAATGTAAAACAGTATTGCATATTTGACTGTATAAATTAAAGATTAATCTTTATTAAAGCTATTCAATCAAGAGCAGTGAGTGATTTCTTCGTTGTTGCTGTTTGATTAATATTAAGAAAGTGCTGTCACTTTAAGAGAATGCACTGATCTAGTGCACTGATACAGTACGGTCATTCAGCCGGATATGTCTGCTATAGGATACTTACCAAGACAAGCATTTTGACACAATTTTTATGTGAATTTGTCCATTTAAACAAAATACTTCAGAGAAATCGTAATATTTGTGTGCGTTCTGAGGCGCGGGTTTGCGCGCTTCGGATGAGCGCACGCACAAATCTTCTCACTGCGCGCGCGAGCTCGCGTCCTCTGGCTCTTAAATGTTCAAACTGGCAAGGCTTAATAAATGAGTTTAGATTAAACACAGATATCAACGTGTGCTGTTCAGGTCTCACGCATCCATCAACAGAAACATATATTAGCTGAACCCTATTTGTTTTACGTGTTATTTATAGCAAACCACTATGCGTTGTCAGATTTAAGTTGAACCGCGGTCCTAACGCGTGCCGAACCGTGAACCATACGGTTCGATTTTTTCCCCGCGAACCGTTCCACCCCTAATATTTACTCACCCACAGGCCATCCAAGTCAAGATGTAGATGAGTTTGTTTCTTCATCGGAACAGATTTGGTTAAATTTAGCATTACATCACTTGCTCACTGATGGATCCAGTGCATTGAATGGTTGCCGTCAGAATTAGAGTCCAAATAGCTGATAATATCATCACAATAATCCACAAGTAATCCACATGACTCAAGTCCATCCAAACTGTGTGTTTGTAATAAACAAGACATTGATTGATGGACTGGAGTCATGTGGATTACTTGTGGATTATTGTGATATTTGTTTTTTCAGCTGTTTGGACTCTCATTCTAACGGCTCCCATTAACTGCAGAGGATCCATTTGTGAGCAAGTGTAATGCTAAGTTTCACTGAAGAAACAAATTCATATACATCTTGGATGGCCTGAGGGTGAATTTAAATTTTTGGATGAACTATTCCTTTAATTTCTGATTTGATGTTTGTGCTAAATCTTTTTAAGGATTTTTATCGATTTCAGAAATAAAAAAAAAAGGTTTATGTCTTTAATTTGAATATCCTTGGTGTATTGAAACACTGTTTAATTCCCAAAAAGAGAAATTTAGTTTGACACAACAGCAACAGCAGACAGATACTGAGCCTAACAGTGTTTTATTAGGGATGACAGAATTGCAATTAGCAGAACTGGTGTTAAATTAAATCACAAGCAGTGTTTAATCAAATCACAGCGGGTTTAACAATATTAAAGTCACTTGCTTGTAGGCTGAGGAGGACATTTAAAAAGCGATACATGTCAGTCACAACTAGAGGGCGCTTACTTCCAAGATTTACCCTTGATCATGTCTGCAGTGTTTTGTGTAGAATAATACATTAGGGAAATCTCATTAGGGAACCAATGGAATGCGGATATGGAGATGCTCGTTTGAATAATTTAGCCGCAGTCAAAAACAGAGTAGTAATGGTTCAGTGTAGATTCAGTGCTTGTTTGCAGATATGCTCAGCAATGTCATATTTATCTGCTCTCTGAGCATTAGCTGGTAACATGCCTTCATTGTGCATCGATGTTCAATAAAAAAAAAAATAGGAAAGAAATTCCTGGCAGTGGTTTGTTAGCCCTCTTTTGTAACTCTTTATATAAGCCCATTAGAAAAACAGTAGGCAGGATGCATTCTATTGGACATGCAGTTAATTTATCACCAGTCCAGCACACAGTGCCTGGGTAAAACCAATCAACATGTTCATGACTCCATCTAATGTTGTTCAAGGGTGGGAATGAGTACAGAACAAAGCTTGGTTTTAGATTCTAAACTGAAGATTCATGTATCTGTGCTTGATACAAACAGTAAATGATTTACAGGTTTGCAGCAGCTTTTGAATTACTTTTTGATTTTTAACAAATTTTTGTCACTATTTTTCCCCCCTGAATTTTTTCTTTATTATGGAATTTACATGCAGATCAAGGGAACTGATCAATTACATTATTAGGCTTTTCTTTTTCTTTTTTTTTTTAGCAAATTAAAGTTACTTTAATGTTTGCCTGTGAGCGCCTTATCAGTGTGTGTTTTACTGTATTACACGCTTCTGCTTAGTTGGACTTTTCTGGGGAGAAGAAGACGCAGAGTATAATAGAAATGATGGAGGCATCTCTGCCTGTGCGCGGGCAGGTAAATGGACATTCTTTAACGTCAATCAAATTTACTGTCATACCAAATTAACACATTAAGCTCACAGCTATGTACACTACCATTTAAACATTTGGACAATATGATTTTATTTATTTATTTATTTAGTTAGTTATTATTTTTTGGCATATATTGGATCATAATACAATAAGCATTGTAACATATAGTTTACAATAATGTGTTTTAATATGTTTTAAACTGTCATTTACAGTATTCGTGATGGTAAAATGTATTACTGCAATGGCAAAATTAGAACAATTTCAGCGTGCTGATTTCATACTCAAGAAGCATATCTTATTATTATCAGTACTGAAACAGTTATACAGTTTAATGTTTTTATGGAAACTGATACATTGTTTTTTCAAGATTTAATGAATAGAAAGTTTAAAAAACAATGATTTGAAATAGAAATCTTTTGTAAATATATATAAATATGTATATAAAAATAATGTATTTATATGATTTAATTTGAATAATTATTTAATTTTTTGAAAAGTAGGCATCACAAATCACAAAAAGCATGTAAATACAATAATATGGTGCTAGACGATTATTATTATTATTGGTCAGGACCAAAATTCAACAATATTTATTTTAATAAAATTTATACATTTTACAACATTTTAAACAATATTTAACAATGTGTCCCCAAAAAGGGCCCTTGGCTTGAAAAAAAAGTTAAAACCCTTTATTTAGGGGTTGTTGATGACTAAATATAACACTTGGTTAGGGATGTAAATGAGGGTTATAATGTCTCATCCAATGTAATATGAGTTGTTTAACGGCTACTGGCTGTATTTGTGTAAAGAAACATCAGTTATGTCCCTTATCACATTTAACCATCTGTGGTGGCAGTTTTTGTTACTTTCTGCAGCATCTCTGGTTTCCATCACCACTGAAAGAGCCACAAGTGTTCCATTTCAAACACGGGCGGTACACTCTCTTTATGTGTGACTGTACGGCGTGTGGGTGTGTATGGACTGTCATGTCATCTGCCATGCAGTCCTACCAGGAGATGAACATTTAATAACAGCTTTCTCCCAGAGAACAAGGACTGTGAGCTCAAACGCTGCTTTGTTTTAAATGCTATGCTAGGAGTCCAGAAGCTGGTGCGCATCCATTAGATTGATATATAAACAAATGAAGGCTGTGATGAATGTGATGTTTGTGTGTAGACTCAATCCACTCAGCAATAAGAGAGGGAGATAAGTGTTATATAAGACGTTGGCCCTGAATCATCTGGCAAATATTAACTTAAATGGCACTTTTGAGCATGAAATGTCAGTCTCCAAGAGGAGAGATAAAAAAGCACATCCCACACAAAACATATGGCACAAGAAGCATGTTGATGCATCTCTTGTAAGGCTCCTCCCCCTCTTGGCATGTGACTACTGTTTCAGCCCCCATTATTCTTGGACATATACTCCGACACACACTGCTGTTTGCCTGTGAGCGCCTTATCAGTGTGTGTTTGACTGTATTACACGCTTCTGCTTAGTTGGACTTTTCTGGGGAGAAGAAGACGCAGAGGATAATAGGAATGATGGGGGCATCTCTGCCTGTGCGCGGGCAGGTAAATGGACATTCTTTAACGTCAATCAAATTTACTGTCATACCAAATCTGCATATTTTTAAATAGGCATTTAATCTTATGAATAGTTGAAATGGTTTAGATGATATTTTCAGATTTCTCTGCTGTCTTTTAAAAGAGAAAAATACATTTTAAACAGGCAGAAATAAGGAAGGAACTCTTCTGCTCTGGGTGACTTGTGAATTTTGTAACACGTGTGACTGCTAGTCTAAAAATGCATGTAATGTATGCACAGTGAGCCATCAGAAAGATCTGCGGTTGCACAGAGGGTGTGATTTTCAAAATGTTTGTGCACATGTATGTGGGAGAGCGTGAGTCACTGTGGAATGTCAGTGTAATATAGGCGGACATTATATTTATTTAAAAAAAGAACTAATTTAATTACAATTAAAGCAGCTCCCTTTATAGAGAGCAGCTTATTCCTACAGTGCAAGCTGTCCATCTACCTGATTTGTGTCTGGTAGTGTGCACTTCACACCAACCCTTCCAATTTACATGGAAAACATTGCCTTGTATTTGCATTTGGCTCGACTGTGGCTTGCTGGAGCAATTTTTTTCTCTGTGCGGTACATCGCTAGTATTTTACCAGTTATCAAAATAAGGTTCCACACACCAGCAATGTTTGGGAAACGGCTTCAGAAAAGATTCAATGCCGGTGAAAAGTTTGGACACACTTGACTCAGTTTGGTTCTCATTATCAAATTTTTTTGAACTTTTGATCTAAAGGCTGAAATGCCTGAAATTTGTTTGTAGACAAATACAAATTGCACTTTATTTTATTTTATGATTAAATGAAAAACAACCTACAAGTAACCAGTAAAGAAACAAAAAAATAGATATATAAGATTTAAAAAAATTAAAATATAAGCATATGTTATTTGTTTACATTTTTGTCACTATATAATTACCATACTTCCATTTGTGTTATTTTATAGCTTTAATGACTTTGTTATTCTAAAATGTATAAAATGGTATATATAAAAAAAAAAGCAGCTCCCTTTATAGAGAGCAGCTTATTCCTACAGTGCAAGCTGTCCATCTACCTGATTTGTGTCTGGTAGTGTGCACTTCACACCAACCCTTCCAATTTACATGGAAAACATTGCCTTGTATTTGCATTTGGCTCGACTGTGGCTTGCTGGAGCAATTTTTTTCTCTGTGCGGTACATCGCTAGTATTTTACCAGTTATCAAAATAAGGTTCCACACACCAGCAATGTTTGGGAAACGGCTTCAGAAAAGATTCAATGCCGGTGAAAAGTTTGGACACACTTGACTCAGTTTGGTTCTCATTATCAAATTTTTTTGAACTTTTGATCTAAATTTGTTTGTAGACAAATACAAATTGCACGTTATTTTATTTAATTTTATTTTATGATTAAATGAAAAACAACCTACAAGTAACCAGTAAAGAAACAAAAAAATAGATATATAAGATTTTAAAAAATTAAAATATAAGCATATGTTATTTGTTTACATTTTTGTCACTATATAATTACCATACTTCCATTTGTGTTATTTTATAGCTTTAATGACTTTGTTATTCTAAAATGTATAAAATGGTATATATAAAAAAATGAAGCATGAATAGATGAGTCCAAATTTTCTGAGCGATACAGTAGGCATGTTATAAAGGACAAATATCAGTATATCGAAGTATTGTAATATTTTATCTCACAATGCTATACCAAAATTCTCACTGCAAAAATCTGTATGATTACCTCAATTTTTCATGTTCATAGTTTTGGGGGAAAAGTGGTGCTGAATGAGAGAGATTGCATTATACAAGGATTAGGTTTGGAATTACAATATAAAAATAAACCTAAAGAATCTCAATATTATCACATCCTGACCCAAATATCAATATAATATTGTCTTGTCAGGAGTCTTTCATTCATTCATTCATTCTTAATTTCTCTGTTTCATGTTATTTGAACTGCTATGGAAGTTGTGTTTGTATCAGGGTAAGGTGTTCTCGTCGTAGTCTCTGTTTGATACTTAGTCAAACTGGTGTTGCCACATTAACGTCATCTCCCTGCACGACAGTACTGATCTGCATATTTACTGTTACAGAGGGACATGCTTCATCAAGTTGCTCCACACACAAGAACACGGTGGCCCCTTTCCCTGCTTTTGTGTTTGAAAAGACCTGGTCACTTGCCAGTTAAACAGATACCTTTCAACGAGCACTATTGGCTGTGCATTAATTACAGGGATAGTCCCATTGGAGCAACCTGCGCAACAATGCATGGGTCAGTAACTCATGCATGCATTCATGCATGCAGACTTTTTTACTAAAAGCCCAGATTGTAAATGATTAAAGTGCAACCTGCCACTTTAAAAGCAGAAAAAGCAGGCAAAAAGCACAAACAACATAATAATCTAGATTTTTACAAGAGAATATGAGTGTTTATGGCCCTAAATGGTTGCAGGGCATCTCCAGGTAGTTCCTGACAAAATGTGGTTGCTGAGGTGTTCTTGATTGCCATGCAGATGCTAAAGTGTCTTTAGGTGGTTGTCAGGATATTATTTGATTGATATTCTGGTCCCTAAATATTTTTCGGATCCCTTATCTGTTTGATTTTAACATTCGATTTATTGTCTCACGGGTAGAAAATCATAACCCCGGTTGCTTAGAAAATGAATAGCACAGCCTTCCAAATCAAGCCACATGATTTAGTTATCAGGCATGTTTGTAGCACATGTGCATGATTTCCAACAAACTCCTAACTCTGAGCACTGTGCAATCATTCTTTCCCAAGACATTTTAAGCACCTATGAAAAGGACACAGGCCACCGAATGTGTAATGTACCTTCTGGACTAGATCAACTAGATAAACACATTTCAGTGTGCTTCATTTTGACACTTGAAGTAGCATGATGCTGGGTGTTGAGAGCTTGAGGGTGTTTGTATTGTGGTGGTGGGAATGTGCCTTTGATGCTGCTCTGTGGTTGAGCGCCTTTATTTTAAGTAGTAGTGCATTGAGCCGATCATTCACTGTCCGCCTTCACACATGCAGGTGCATCAGTGAAAACACAAGGGAGGTTTCCAGAACTGTTGGAATGTGTGTTTGCGTTCCTCATCTTATCAGAACTGAGCTGTTTCCACATACTGATGGAGGTGAAACTTTCTCAGCGAAAGTCAGTGGCAGCACAAGAAGCGATACAAGTGTGAATTTGTGTTTTGCTGACTATTCAACACTACTATTAAACCTTTAAGCTGTCCTTTGTTTGTCACGGTGTGAGAGATGTATGTCTGTGCACTGAAACTCGAGGTTATTTGACTGTGTGATTTACATAAAACGAGGAATATTTGTATAAAGTCTTTGACATTCACATATCCTCGTGTCTGTGGCTTTTACGAGGATTTTTAGGGAAAACATTGTCTAATGTTTGTTTTACCGATCTAGAACATTATTCATGGCGCTGATCATGTGATTTATTACCTTGGCAAACGCGCTGTTTTAACTCTTGTTTATGGCTGTTTATAGTAGGTTTCCATTCATCACTGTAATATGAGCCTACATTTACCAAATTGAGCTTTTCTTTTCGCATGCCCGGATGTGAATTTTTGGACGAGAGCCAATTCAATGCTAATGTTGCAAAACAAGATCTCTCTGATCTCCCTCTTCACAGCCTCCTTGAAACACATTTAGTCCACAGATGCAGATATACTTATGTTTTTCAGAATTTGAGATTTAGTATGAGTGCGAAATATCAGCCAATACTACAGATCATATCGATCGATCTATACAGTATTGGTTGATATTTAATTGTGCATGCTCATTTCCGCTGTTCTTACATTTAGATCGTCTTTGCTGTCGTCTAACGCTTAGGTTTTTTTTTAACTAATAAATTAATAACACTGTTAAATGTAATCTTTAGCAAAACTCTAAATTAATATCCTTTTAAAATACTGTATATTATAATGTTGTGATGCCTAAATTCACTTGAAGTATTAAAAAGGATTGATTTTAGTTTTATTTTTAATTTATTTAGTCAAAGTAATATGACAGAAATTATAACACTTATCCCAAGTCTATATGATATTCTGATCCCTAATCACGTAAAGTCTGTTAGTTTTTTTTGTGCTCATTTTATCTTCCACTAGATGCAAATCATCAGTCTGATTATTTAGAAAAGCACGGCAATAGTAAGTCCTATCACAAGAAGCATATCAGTTTTCCAAATATAATTGAAGAATTCAGATGCAAAAGCCTCTAAGTGCCGTCTGAAATGTTCTTCTAAAATGAGCATTTTTATCAGGTTTCTATGTTTAGGTTCAGTTATTTCACTTTAATGGCAATGAAAAGGACCTGTTTATTGCCATTAAACTGAATTCTCTGAACCTAAACAAAGGAGCCTGATAAAAATTATAATTTTAGAAGAAAATTTCAGACGGCACATAGAGGCTTTTGCATCTGAATTCTTCAATTTGTCTCAGAAAGGAATATCACATGTTGACTAGAGATCGCTTGTGTCAGACTGATTCTCTTATACCTCGATACTCGAGCCCAGGTTGATTTGAGACTGCAGTTTTGCAATATTATGTTCTTTAAAATGAGCTTCTCTTCAAGAGCCTTTGCATCAGCGAATCGTCTTAGAGGAAGTTAGTGCAGATCTATTTTCATCCTGCTTTTGTGCGAAAATCCACTTTTTCGTAATCACACTTTAGGTCAGCTAACAGCTCATTCAGCAGAGAAGTGTCTGAACTATTACTGAAGATGTGATGATTATAATGGGCTTTGATGGCTCCAGGTCAGATCCATGGAAACCAGAGTTGCGCTTCAACAGGACTTCACTCTGAGAGTGTCTAACAAGCCTGATTCCATCATAGACAAGCGAAACTCTCACTTTGATGCCACAGACCTGCTCACATATACAGCACGTCAAGTTGAGAGTTGATTAAAGTGTTACAGGTATCATAAAGTCATAAAATGTGAGGTTCAGATTAAATCATAGTGTTAAAAGTGATCGTTGATAACTAATCCTCCTCCTCATTTTGTTCAGTTCTGTCACTGCGATGAAGAGTGAATGATTTTAATGTAGTACTGAGATGTGACCTGCCATTTCCTAGAAAGACAAATGTGGCATCTCAACCAGAGTTTCATGATGAATTTCTTATGAATCAAACATGATATGAGGATATGAAAATGGAAGATGTGCTTGAAATGAAATTACTATGATTAAAAAAAGTGCGGGGTCAGTGAGATTTTTAAAAATGTTTATGAAAGAAGTCTCCTGATGGCTGCATTTATTTGATGAGAATGCAGTAAAACAGTAATATTGTTAAATAGCATTGCAATCTACAAAGTTTTAAAATGTAATTTAATATATAAACACCATCGTAATTTAATCCTGTGATGCAAAGCTGAATTTTCAGCATCATTACTCTAGTCTTCAGTGTCACATGATCCTTCAGAAATCATTCTAATATGTTGATTTGCTGCTTAAAACATTTCTTATTATCAATGCTGAAAACAGTTGTGCTGCTTAATTTTGTTGTTGTTGTGGAAAACTGCTTTATTTTTCAGGATGCTTTGATTAACAAAGTTCAAAAGAAAAGCAATTATTTGAAATAAAAATGTTTTCTAACATTAGAAATGCTTATACTGTTACTTTTCATCAGTGTAATATGTCGTTGCTGAAAACTTTTGAACAGTAGTTTACTATGACACTGTTGCAAAAATGCATTTTAAGGGATTTTAAATGGATAGTAAGTTTTTTTTAATTAAAAAAACCCGTCTTTTTGTCTCTTTCGTTAGACGATGCAAAGCAAATGTGCATAGGCCAAAGGTGAGGTTTGTTGTGACATTAATGAATGGCGTTGCTGTGGAACATGCAGTGTGTCTGGACAAAAGGGGGATTTTTGGTTTTGCATGTGATGTCTTTAAGCTTCACGAACATTTTTGTGAGCAGTTAGAAGGAAAAAGGAACAGGATGGAGGTTGCAGACTGCCATCTGTTGTCCCCAATTTAGTTCTCAACTTTTTATGGTCAGTAGAGACTCTCCTGTTAGTTCTGAATGAGTTACTCTAATCCTCATTCCAGCTTCTCCAAAAACAAGTCAAAGCACACACACACACACATGCTCACACACACAAGTTTGTTTGACATTCTCTATTGTGGAGAGAGACAATATTCTAACAACCATATCTCATACCATTCCATGAATGTTTGAAGGATTTATGGCTTTTTCTCAAAAGCAAACAGTTTTAACATTTCCTCATTTCTCATGTTAAACAAAGTGTTGTGTGTCTTAAAGGAGTGCCCTGGCCGACAGGCCGATTGTTAGCCATGCTGCGACAGCAAGAACCCACAGTCAGCACCCTGCATCTGGTGGCTAATGATATGACAGATATCATGGAGAACTTGGACACACGAGAACTCGACATTGGAGATGGGGAAGAAGAGTTTGACGGCCAGGACCCCAATAGGGCAGGTAAAAGAAACAAATAACAGCATAAAATCACTAAATAATCCAAATAAAACTTTTAAAAAAATAACATTAAATGCTACCATTTGGGGTCAGTTTGGAGCAGCAAATCAGCATATTAGAACTATTTCTGAAGGATCATGTGACGCTGAAGACAGTAATGGCTTCTGAAAATTCAGCTTTGCATCACAGGAATAAATT